GCCTGTCTATTTTAAGTTTAAAATTAGCGAGAAAAAACGAACTAATTGCGCCTTTCCATTCGTAAGCATGGCAGCACTACTGGATCGCCAACAATCTTCATCGATACCGAAGGTCGTCTCACGGTGTTTACTGTTCGGTTGTAGAGTTGCTGAACTTCCAGGTGCTGCAGCAATCACTCTCGATGATGTGGTAGCTTCTTGCAATCGTGTAGAAGAATTTCGCTGTGTGCAGGATACACCACATACAGATGAACTTGGAGCACTTTCACTGAAAAAAAAAAACAATCAAACAAATCAACTTTTAACTCTTTAAATAATTTTTTTTTTATTCAAAAACATTTCATCAAGAGGCAAAACTAACACTTCTTTGTGCAAATATATTCAAGGTTTTTAAATGATCATATAGCATTTGCTTCCTTCATATGTTTTTAAAAAAATGATTAGCATTTGCTGAGATACAAACTGTCATACCATATTTGCTTGCAGTTGCAACGAGCAAAATTAACAATAGCTGAAGGTCATGTAAGATTATACATACATGACCTTTAGCTATTAATGATAATTTTGAAGCTATAGTAAAGATGAAATCTATCCAGTCATAAATGTAAGAAGGATGAAAGCTGGCGGTTATAGCGAATTTTTACTATTACTCTTGGGATAGAACATTAATGAATATTTTTTTGTCTTCAAAATGTTGTAATAAAAATTCAAATATTATTTGTTGAGGAATGAAATCACATAAAAAATGCTTCAAAAATTTGATGATGCATAACAATTTCATAATTTAAAAATCAAATCTTGCAAAATTTAATTTCACATTCATGTTTTATTTTTTAACTTAGAAAAATAAACTGGTGCTTGTCTCCTCAACATTATATAATGTTCATTTCGGCCAACAAAAGTAGTATTTTGCAAAGGTCCAATGATGGCATTCTTAGGCAGTGAATGGTACGCCAAAGCACAGGATTTGTCACTTCGCACCACCCACAATCTTACATCCATTACTGAATCTTCAAACTTTGAGATTAATGAAATTCTGGTAGCGGAATAAAGGTAGAACGGTACACTGGCCCAATAACTGATCAAATGTTTCGTGATAAAAAGATGTTTTGATAGTAGAAAAGCCCGACTGTCATTTTGGTACATTCAAATTGGATCAGAGTTTTAACCAACTACTTTACTTATCACAATTAGTCATTTTTAATCATGACGAATATTACAGCAATCATTAGTTTATTTACAAAAAATTATTCTCACCCATAATTGGATGATATTCCTATTTTGATACTACTATTTTTGCATTATTTATTTGTATTTTTTTGACAGAGAAGAATTGATGTTGTGAATGAGAAGTGAAATCAAAAGATAAAATGGTCAGATAGTGGTGGAAGTCAGTGATAATTCACCCATCCATTTTAATCGTCCCGTCAATCTATCCAATCTCATTCATTCCATCAAACAACAATAATAAACTTTTCACTCATACTATTCAAATTTATACTTCTTTCAAAAAAATATATTCTCAACTAAAATTTATAAAATGATTATAAATTAATCAGATATATTAGAGAATTAACTTACAAAACTATTTCATACTACTATTTCTCAAGTAACCAAAAAAATGTCTTTTCTCATGAGAATAAATCAGTAAGTACATAATAGAAATACGAGTGCTAAATTATTTACACATTTTTTTATGCACTTTATTTATACACTTTATATCTCATATAAGAAATAAGCTAATTTCTATAAATTATTTGAATATTTTAATATCAAATTTCATCCAATAAATGTAAAAGCCTAAAAAAAATTCATATCATTTAAAGAAAATTTATTAATCTGATGAAAATAATAGAAGTGTTTGGGGAAGAAAATTGCCTTCACTTCTTTTTTCTTTTTTTAAAATGAATAAAAAAATTATAAGTGAATGGAGAAATTATGATTTAAATTCTTCGTATTTTTATTCATTATTGAATGGGTTTTTTGAATTTTATTAAATAAAACACTGATCGAGTTTCCCAACAACGATAAATGAATTTTCTTTCTTTTTTTGAAACACTCTTCTATAATGATTAACATATTTTTCAAAAGGATTTTTTCACTGTTTCAAGGATTTTAAAAAAAATTTTCACAATCAAAGATTTTTGAAAAAAAATTTACTGTTAATTAAATTCTAATAGTAGGCAAACTTTATTCAAATATAGTCTTGAAAAGGCAACAAGAAGTATTGCACTTTTGCTATATTTAATTAATTTTTAAGGAAAATAAATTGTCTAATCCAATTAATGCATTCAATGATGAAGTAAATAAAAATTAAAAAAAAAAGTAAGAAATAAACAGAAAATGTTTACCGAAATTTGGACACATCATTACCATATTTCGAGCCATACAAATCGATCGCCCACAAGCCAACAGCAAATTTCAACATAGTGGAATGCAGTAAAACAGGCAATTGAGATGATAGGAAAGAAAAACAGTACGCGGGGAATTTTGTATGTGAGGTTTGAGAGATTCTCTGTTGAAGAAGTTTATGCTAACTTATAATTTTAAGACCCAAACTACACTAATTCCAGAAAAGATTCCAACTAAGCTTTCTTCTCTCTCTCTCTCTCTCTCTCTCTCTCTCTCTCTCTCTCTCTCTCTCTCAGACATTTCCATTTGTACTTCTCATCCTTCAAACAGAATAATCAACACATCATGGCCTTCCCTCCCTCCACGAAGAGGCGTTATCATCTACAATTTTCATCCTACAACATTCAATTCAATCACTGCTTGCTTCCCTTCCTTCCTTCCTTCCTTCCTTCCAATCACTCACGCCAGTGCTCAAAGTGTCCGACATACTGCGCTTCCTATCGCTTCCACGTACATCACATGCATTTACATATATATACATACATCTAACACACATACACATACACGTATTATAAAGTTTAATGTGTCAGCTATTTATTCAACGGTGATAATTTTCTGAGTAAAATTTTTGAGATAAAATTGTTTAAGATTAACTAATAAAGATAGAGAGAAGTGTTAAAAGTTTAAAGCCCTTGTGTAATGCTTCATAAGCTTAAGTCAAAGAGTACGGAAGAAAAATGTGAATTTTTAACACTTAGAAGTGAAAAAAAATGCACTTCCAGAAAAAAATGGAAAGAGAGAAAGAGGAAGAAAGATGGAATTCGTATTTCAACTTCAATTTTCAACTTTCATATATTTCCCTCATTTTCCATCTCAACAAATGTTGAATTTGTTTGATAAGTGAGAGAGCATTTGTTATATTCTGATGAATTGAAATGAAAATGAAAATTGAAAATGCTGAAAGGAATAATTGACGATAATTTGAGTTGAATTTCCTTTAGAGTGAAAATTAGGATTATAGTTTGGTTAAGATAATACAAATAGCTATGAAGTTAGAAATATGAACAAGGAGAGGAGCTTAATGGGAATTTAAATAAAAGTTACAGATAGAAAATAAATTAAATTTAAAGAAAAATTTATTTGAATTAGTGTGATTAAAACATAACCATTAAATTTAGTTATAATTAAAATGACCATCAAACAAAAATACATTCATTAAAATTTTTAGCTAATATAAATCTTATCGTTTCAGTTTCGATCAAGAAGTGTTGTTTAGCTGAACCATTATCAACATTTATCAGCTGCATTTATCAACATTATGTTTACATTTTTGCTCAAATGATAATTACACAAGACGAAATATATGAAATATAATTTGCAGTTATAAACAAAAGAGATAAATTGTTTGGCCATTCTTTCCCGGAAATTCACGGAGAATAATTTTCCAACGGAAATGCAAACATTTGAAGCGAAATGATTTATGAAAATTTGATGAGTGTAAAATATAGATGAAGTATTTTTATTAGCTAATATCTTTCGTTGAAGATTTGTTTCCATCAACAGCTTTCACACTTTGCTTTAATACTGTTAATATCATTTGGCAAAAAGAAAACTGATTTTTTTAACAAAATATTTATTTACTTAATCTACATTTATATTTGTCATGAATGGAATGCCTCATGAAATTAGTCCAATCATTCAACAATACATCAAAAATAAGCTATAAAATAATAATAATAGACTTAAAAAAAACTTTTTTGATAAGAAATGGACAAAAAGAGAATTTGTAAATAAGAAATTTTCTAAAATATCTCGTTCAATATTCTATGAAATTAATGAGCCAATTCTTCAAAGCTTACAGCTATGCTTTAAAGGGCAATGAATTCATTGTTGAACAATCATTCCGTTGGGAAACTCTCCCCTGCATTATAATTAATTATCGATCAAGTCTTCAAACATTTTATGATAAAAAAAAGGTTGAAAATATGCAATATCGTCGGGAGATATATGAATTAAGCCTTCTTTTCTTGACAATCTTTCTGGAATTCTTTTTAAGATTTAGTAAATATATTAGTTTTTTTAGCTCAGACTGGTTTTTGTAGAAATCTTTTGTCATCAAAAAGAAAGAAGTTGAAGGTTGAAAAAAGCGGTCTTGTTTGTTATCTCTTCATGGCATAAAGATCTTGTCGAATCATTCATCCACCAGCACAATAGACACTTACCGCCCGAGAATGCTTCCTCTCATCTTCTCATGCCATTTTCCGCCCAGTCTCCTCGAGATTCCCAATATGAAGTAGTTTTATGTATACAAATAGTAAAGTTTATGAATAATCAGAATGTATTTTATTTGCAATATTTACTTTTGGATGCGTTCGAATAAAAAAAATAACGCCTTATAAAGCATTTAATTCCAAAGTTAACAACCGCTCGAATTTACCGATTAAATGGCATTTAAAAATTCACTTACAGAGAGAGAGGGAGGAAGAGAGAGAGAGAGATGATGGAGAGAATGAAATGGACAAAAAAATGTCTCTGTACTCGCACAAAGATTGAACACAAACGATCATATAACAAATATTTTGTTCTATTTGAAAAGAGATATGCAAATTTTGTGGAATAAAATATGTCGTAACAATACTCCATAAAGATTAAAGAGGAAGAATGGAATATTAATTTAATGATGACATGTTGTGAAATTTGTCGTAATTAGCATCTATCATTTCCTAATACAAATTTCTTAAATTCACATGCAATTAAATCAATTATTCAAATTTTTTGAATCGTATAAAAAAGAAAAAAAATAAGATAAATAAAAATGACGTACAAAAAAAAAAACATACTAAATTTGTGCTGGTAATGCTCGAACGAAAAGCATTTTTGCCAAGTTTGCTGATGAAGTAAGAAGAAAGAGAGGGAAAGAGAGAGGGACCAGTGACTTCTTTTTACCTTTCTCTCAATCATTTGAGAATTTTAAAAAGGATAACCGACAAACGAGGACAGCAATTAAAAGGAGGATAGTATGAGGTTTATGGAGAGGCGGTGAATTTGTGCGCTCTTCCTCCTCCATGTACCGAAGCGTATCAAATTATAGTACAGAAATTATTCTTCATATAACCTAAAAATTTTGTTTTATGACCTCCTCTTCCATACCTTTTCATTCTAATGAATACGCAAACTATTTCCTTTTTTATCTCATACTAATAGTTGAAATTAATTCGAACTCTCAACATTTTATCCTTTTAATAATAATTGCAAGTCCATCATCGTAATTACTCTTGGATAGGAACTGGATTCAAGAATCATTGATGTAATGTTGACAATAATGAATTCATATAATTAGATAATAATAATAATAATAATATCATTTAAAATGGAATAACAATTAACACCTTCGAATAATAATAATAATGATAATAGTATCTAAAGTAAAACTGAATTTTTAAGAATTTCAAAAAAAGTTAAGAAAGTATTATTACCGCTGCTCCTGCTATTTTAATCAAAAGCAAATAGAAGTAGAATTTGCAAACAACCTTTGGAGTGGGCCCATTCAGTACTAATTGATGACATCCCATTCGATAATTAATTGCTCAAATTTTAATTCTTAAAGATGGAGGTCAACAGTGTAAAAAAAATTCTTTAATTGGCACTGAAAAATAATTTTCCTTTGACTGAATATAAAAAATGAAATAAACATGATCGAGTATGGGGGACTATGCAAATACATGAACACAAATAAATGATCGGACATCACGATCATGAGGAAATTCAGTCAAACTAATTTCATTTGAACTAAAAAAGGTTAAGGAAAAAATGATACCATTTCATGTCAATTTTATCAGAAAAAGGAAAATAAGAGAAAAGGAAGATGAGGAAAAGATTAAAATTATCTTTATTACTGTCAAATCATTTGAAAGTCATTTAATAGCCATCAAGTTATTGCTCCTTTAAGGTTTTGAAAAAAAAAATGCTAATGTTATTATTCAAAGTGTGGAAAGCAAAATTAAGATTAGCTGAGGGTATAAAAGAGAGAAGGGAAATGATAAGGAAGGGAAGGATTGAAAGCGGAAATTTGTTGATGTTTTGGATTGAGCAAATGTATATTTAACAAAATGAGCAAAGCGTAAGGATGATTGGGCGAGCTGACAGAATTCCTTCATTTCTACAAAATACACTCAATGATCGCATGATTGCAACAAATAGCACTGACATTTTTGATAATTTCCGTCGGAAAATAATTGCAATGAGACGATGTCATAAATGATGACAGTTCAAACGAAAATTCCTATGAAATCCGTTTAAGGAATTAGTCATAAAATGTTAAAATTTTCAAAAAAGAGAGACATTCTAAAAATTTATGAAATGAAAATGCAACATATGTGAAAACATAGAAATGCCTAAAAATAATGTATTTGAATTTATCCTGTATGATAAGTTGCCGAATTCGAAAAACTTTACTTGAAGACTAGAAAAGAATTTTTTCATTGTCGAAAATGGATAACGATGTGTGCAATTTGAAGAAAGAGTAAAAAATGGTGGTAAAAGTGCTGACCTCCAATGTTCTGTAATTTCTTGTTTCACATTTCTTCCATCGTTGTCTTATCGTATATGAGTTAAAAAAGAAAAAGGAACAAGGCCACGATAAAGTCATAATTTATTAAAAAAAATTTAATTATTTTCAAATTATAACATCCTTCATATTGATGGAATGATAAATCTCTCTTAGATATTAATCAGCACTGTATGATATACATCAGAAAGCGATACTTAAATTCATTCGATCGACCTTCCACTATCATATTTTAAAAGTATGCCCAATTTCTAACAGACATTTCTTAGATGAATCAATAAGGATAGAAGTATTAAATCCGTTACGCTTCCGTAAATTTGTCAACTCGTTATTAATCCCTACTAAAGATGGAATAAAAAGAGAACAGATTTTGATTAACTATTAATTTAAAATGAAAAATTATCATTGATGATAAAATTTTTGCAGTTTGCCAGAAAACTTTTTTGTAATAGGTTTAATTCATAAATTATAAAATGAAAATAGTTTACGAATACGATATGATCCAACTACATTATGAGCAAAATTAGAAGAAACGAAATGAATTGAAATGTGAGCATTTCAGAAAGTGTCGATGATGATGGTGTAATGTGAGCACAACCGCAAAACAAACTGACCAATCAGTCAATTACATTCTGCGATTTCAATGACCATCTCTCTTCGAGATGTAAACTGAATGACCAACTGTACGATTAGATGAAGAGAAAGAAGCACGGAAGTAAGATGGAGTATGGAGAGAGTGAAATAGTTGAATGGACGAAAAAGCAAATGGATATGATCGGATAACAAAGGCAAAGGGCGAGAGCAATTAGACAATTTTGTGAATTAAATGTGATTTTCACAGCAAAGTTCACTTTCCTACTGATATTAATATTCGATCTTTTCCGCATCAATAATGAAAAAATATTATGAAAATTGACACTAAAGATTGTGAATTATTTGTTGGACTTAAAAGTTATTTTTGAGAATTATTTTAACTAGAATGAATTCATAAATTGCGTTGAATTGCATAAGAAGAAAATCAAAATTGAAAATATTTGATAGTGCTAAAATAAATTTTTATTTTTTCAGTCAATTTCTTCACCGTTAGAAAAATCATTTCCTGTCTTGTGTTACTGAATAATAATTCAATTATTAAAAAAAAATCGATTAAAAAAAATCCAAAATGATCTAATGATTTTTAATAGATAGCCTTCCTGTAAAGATTCACAGTGAACTTAATTCAGAATCTATTTTAATTGTAAATATTGCATGCAATATGCATGCAGTTTTAACATCAATGATAGCATGCAATCATAGTATTCTCATAATAATTTGCTATTTTCTGTTCATTTCTTGCTATAAAATAATTAAAGTAAATTACAATTTGATAATAGAGAGAGAGGCATGCAATTTCCCGACGCAATTCTACCTGATCATTCTGGAATCATGCAAGGTATGCAATAAGGAGATAGCAAAAGATTACTGTAATTAAATTCTTATAGAAATCGTTTCTTCAACATTCATATGCGCACTCATACACATTGTTACCTTTAATTAACTAATTACTGAAAGCAAACTGACTCACATTAGAAGCGATAATCAAAGTTACTAATAGTATATGAAAAAAGCGTAAAATGCATAAAAGGGATAAAACGGAACCTTTGCTCAATAATGTTTGAGTTACTGATTTTGCTATCCGTTTTGTTACTGTTATCAGCATTGTTATCAACACTTTTCTCTTGTACAGTAACAGTATCACACGATGTTTCAGATTGCTGAAAATTTGAAATGCTATTTGAAGCAGCCACCGATGACATCGGTGATAAAGTTGAGCATGGTGAGATAGAGCCAGTTGTGATCTGCTGCGGATTATCAGGCGTTTCGATAGATGTCACAGCCGCCCCTGCTCCAGTAGTATTGGCGGTCGTCGTGATGGAGGATGATGTTGGTGATACACCTCGAAGGCGTCTACCGAGCCATTTTCGTAGGTAAATTTGCGAGCGGCTATAGTAAAACACAATCATTACTTTCAAAGCAAAGCAAGGATAGAGCTCGAGAATTATTAGCGTCCTTCTCTCACGAATAATTCCCGCATTCCGCATGAAGGTATTTCTATTTTAGGACGGCTGCTAGTGCACGAAATGCGGGATCATTTGTGCGAGAAATAAGTCTATCTTTCAAATGCAAGCACTTTAAACGATGATCTGAGTATTAAAAAGGTATTGCAAAAAGCAACATGCATTGTAATTAGTTCCATAAGTTCACTCTTAATTAATTACATCCGCTTTCTAGGAATTACTTTTTTCTTTTTCTAAAAGTGACCGAAATCTCCTTTAAATCATATCAGATTTACTACCAAACTCTTATCAGTCTTAAGCAAGGAATTATTTCATTTTCATATCTTCTACATTGATCAGCCAAATCAAATAATATGTTAAAATTTAAAGGAAATTATCGACAAACTGGAGTTCTAGTATATCAATTAAAAAATGTATGCTGATTATAAATTACTCATTTATCACTTTATTATTTATCAACTATTATTCATTACTTATTACGCAGATGGAAAAACAACGTAATATCTTTTTATATAATTGAATCCAAAGTTCCAAGATTGAATTCATATAATTTTTAACTTGGAATCAATCGATCTTGATTTTTAGTTTAACAGTAAATAAAATAATTAATGTAAGGCTTTCGTAAATTATAAGTTATATTGAATAACAAGAGCAGAGAAGAAATAATGCAATACCAGAAAATCCGGGATACAATAATCGGTGAATTGATCCTATGAGATGAAGCATAATCTCGAGAGCTTGATGAGCTACCATTCATCGTACTCTGCGATTCTCGATTTGAATGCCTAGAAGAAATTAGTTGATTTGAAAATACTATTTAAAAAAATCATAAATATTTATAAATGAATGAAAGATAGAGAAATTCAAAATGCGAAAAGGATTTTTGATTGTTTAAGTAAGAAAATAATTAAAGCAAAGGATGGAAGTGTTAGAGTTTGTTATCAGATCTTCAAACAAAACAGATCAAAAGTAAATCTTGTACGTCAACATGCGAAGAACAGAGATGAAAAATTGCTTAAAAAAGTGAAACAAACCTTAAAAATGTGCGTTCTACACGAGCACGTCTTCTCATTTCTTCCATACTTTGATATTCTGTTCGCCCACTGAAACAGTTCAGCGTCATTTGGTTGAAGGAATATCATATCATTATCACTACTATTAATTTTTTATCACTATCACTACTAATTAAAAGCTTCAACAGAGATAAAAATAACCGACTGGTAAAATATTAGTTAAATTTTGCTTAAATTATACAGCTTATTTTAAACATAATGTATAATGGAAATTTGCTTTTGAAGAGTTGAAAAGCTTTATTCCGCAATATTATGTAAAACATATGCTCTAACACTTCCTTGAATTTCTGTTTAAAAAGACTGCTTAATGTCAGACGCTTTGGCGGAAGCACATTCTGATGAAATAACAACGATATACTAATATAATAAAAGTTAATTTCTTCATTTCCCAATAGTGAAAACGAAATAGTATAAAGTATCAAATAATTCAATTCCTCTACTATCACATCAAATGATGCTATCGTTATCTTTATCATGATTGTTACAATGATCATTACCATTCATGGGATAATAGCATTTGTATTATTAAGTTATTTGGAAATATTGAAATTGAGTAGCAAAATGATGATAAATGAAGAGACAGGCTTTCGCTAGAATATTGGCAAAGAAAATTGGGAAAGTTTTTTCTTCTTTTAACACTTCTAAGTTAGCATAATGCTTGTCTAATTCTATGAATAAAATTACTGTGAACTATTAGAATTACCAGCGATATCTGGCTATCAAATACAGTATTTTCTCTTGGTCTGATTGGCTTCAACTGTTATTTAAATTTTTCCATGGAAATATGTCTTATGTTATATCATTATCACTTAACTGTTTAAATAGAAATGAAATCTGTCAAGTGACAGAACCATCAGACATGTGATTCATCCATTACTTAACTTCATACCATACATAATTTGAAAAGCATTCGAAAAGATCAAAAATTCAATTACTAAACGAGAGGACAAAAAAATGATAAAAATATTTTAAAATATAAACCAACTTTTCAATGATATCTAACAAGTTTCTCCACGATTTCTGCATTTGTAAAGTAGCAAAACGATGAATTGGACTTTCACTAAATGAAAATATGATAGTGCATAGAAGGTAGACCAACCTGTATGTTTATTATGTTGCATTCATATCATATAAATAGAGAGATAAATAATTAGATAGATTTAGATAGGTAGATAGATATATTAGTTATACAATAGCTTATTTTCATAAGCTAACTAACATTGAATGAGAATAAGCCTTTCAATGACTGAAAAAGAAGGCAATGTAGGAGAGCGTTTGAAGGCCTATCAATCAGAATTTAACCGCTGAACGAAGTGGTTTTGAAAAAATAACCAACATACTGAACAGACCGAAAAATCTGATTAATAAAAATTTCGTAAAAATTATGTTTTCTTTAAAAGATTTTTTTTTGCAAATTAAAAAACTATGCATTAACTGAACAAATTACAATAATTGAACAAATCTTTCATCAAAACATGGAAAAAAAATTTTCAAAAACTGGACGAAGTAGAAGGAATGGTAAAAACATTAATAAAAATGAAATTTGAATGGATTTTGAATTTTTTTAAATAACACTAGCGAGATGAGAGAAAAAATGATATTTGCCGTCATTAGGGGCAATAGTGTGGTACATATTTGGGTTAAGAAAGATCATGAAAGGATGGGATGTTATGTTGAAATATGATCGAGATCAGAAGTTTTCTCAGGGATTGTCATCAGCAAATTTAATATTACTGATTTGTAATTTTTTAGAAAGAATGAATGAGGTCAAGAAAAGGGATTAAATTCAGAGATGAAAACTGAAAATGAAAATATAAATCATTGTGAGAGATAATGGTATGATGGATGGAAAGAGTTAATGATCTTTCATCTAAATTTTCTTCAGATCAATTTTCTGATTAAAAAGTATGGATTAAAAAAATAGCACAATGGAGCTGGCAGATACCGCTTGAAAATTATTAAGTAATATTATTACAATTTTGAAGTATTATAAATTGCTGACATGTTGTGGAATCTGAAGAATTAAGTCTGATATGACAGGGAATAGACTTGAAAGTCAACAAAAGGCCCCACACGAACAAGACAGGCCTATAAAACCACTTTTATTTAGATACGAACATTGCCATCCTCTTGGCTCAATAGATTTTTTTCTGCTAAATATGACTTTTTTTTCTTATTTTCAAACTAAAGAAGAGAGAAAGAAGAGGAAAAGGATAGAATGGAAGAAAAGGAAAGCAATTCATTGTGCAATTGTACAGCTAATGAGCCAAGAGAGAATGAATATATATCACAGAGATAAGAGCCTTTTCTATCATTGAAATGATAATTCATAACTCTGCACTAACATCATCTCATCTTTGGGATGCACAAATGTCCGGTTAATGGTGATGAACTGTAATAATTTCATCAGTCTTCTCGTCTCAATTGCTTTATAATAATTGCTTACAATAAAGTAGAAAATCATAATCCTTTTCCTACTTTTAAATTTGAATTTAACAAAAAAATACAATGAATGATTAGAGCTAAGATAGCGGTATGTGATAACACCAACTGCTTGTAGGCCGCAAAAGAGCTAAACGTCTGAACTAATACTTTGGTAATTTAAACATCAGAGATTACTCAAGAATATGACAAATAGCGAAATTTCTCATTTGAATAAAAGTATTAGGTCGGTGATTCAGTTATTTTCCGCATGCCATATTTTTAGACAAATAAAAGCACTTATCACCATACAGATATGATAAAAATAATCAATAACATAATTTAATGCTAAACTGAAAGAAAAAAAAATAAAATATGAAAAATTTTAAATATTTTAATCTGAATCACTCATAAAGTAACAAAAATTGCCAAAAATTCGAACCGACGAAAATAAAATTGAATTTTTCTAATTAAAATATAAAATTCGAAATAAGTAAAAGAAACAAGGATGTGAAAAAGAAGAGAGAGAGAGAACAAAAGGGAGAGAAAAAAAAGAAGGAGAAGGAGAGGGAGAGGGAGAGGGAGAAAAAGAAAACACTAATATATATCAATGAGTACATGAAATGTTAAATTATCCCATCCAGAAAAATGATCACGAGTTATTTACTTAAATACAAAAATGACAGTCTTGCGATGTACAATAATGATGAAATTTCATTCCGCTACCTCACTAAATACTTTTAACTGATCTTTGAACAAACAAGAGAGACACATAAATGCACAAATAGACAGGCGCACCTGTACAAACTCATCTCAACGGCTACTATTCAAGTAAACAATAAACACATCATATACCAAATATTCATTATAAATATTTAATGAAAACTCAATATTGAAGAATCTTTCAGAAAAAATTTAAGATATCATTATAAGAGAATGCATAAAACTACCGTGAATTAGAAATCTGCAAAAATTTCCATTATAGTAATCAAAGTATTTCATTACCAATTATAATAATTTCAAAAACTATTTCAACAAAAACCTAACTGAAATGAAAATACACACATGTCCTCTGCAACTAACCTATAGCGAAATCGACTTCCAATGCTAAAAAATGATTTTGGTGGTGGTGCCGGTGGAGCGATAAGTCGAAAGAATGTATGATGTTCGATGCAACTCTTCCATAATGCTTTACAACTTTCCGGATTTTGGATATTGAAAATGACCACTGTATCTTCTTCCATCTGTAATTCATTTATGATTATTATCATAAATTATTATCATTATTATCATCGAATGATGACTTTTAGCATAGATTTTGAGAAACGTGAATTGATTATTCCATTATTATAGATTTCCTTCTTAAATTCTCTCTCTCTCTGTTTAACTTGATTTTTTTCGTTTGAAAATAAACTTCCAATAAACGTTTTCGATTATTTTTGTCTTCTATCTTCTCTCATCTTTTTGTCTTTCTCTCTTTCAATTAATTATCAGCTCTCAAATACCTTCAAATTTGACAGCTCTTCCTCCTGTCAAGTTAGAACTGTATAACTTACGTTATCATTTTTGATTGCGCGCATATGTATGCTAAATAGCTTCTTCTTAAATGACAGCTTCATAATGGCCGACCAGGGATAGATCGATTCACGACGATTACATCGCACAAGCACCACACCGCTATTGCTTACACCAACTCCAATCATTCCACCATTACTTTCCTATACAAATGTTTATTCAAAATTAATGAAAGTTGATGAATTTTAAAAAATCTTCTCTTAAATATTTAGAATTAACTGTTATTTATTTAACGACTACAAAAATTATTTAATCTAGCTTATTAATACAAGAAGATATAAGATTAAATTTTTGAAGTTAATTTAAAAAATATAATATATGATTAAAGTGATAACCTTAGCTGGATAGAGATCGATACCGTATAGATCGAGATCTTTGGCATGCTTCAAGAAATTAGATTCTGCTTCAGCTGGACTTTGCCCTTTGTGAAGCTTATGCAATTCGGTTACATTTTTAATTAGGGTAGTATTTTGTTCAGGTATAAATTTAAATTCGTTAAGATATGTGGTGCCATGCTCCTCTTTACTGTAGTCACCAAATTCTGCTGAAAATCAAATTTCTGTTTGTTTTATGAACCAGAAAATTCCAAACATTTTAAATAATGTCAAGAATAGATTTTCTTAGGTTATAAGCCAAATAGGTTCAAAATACGATTAGAATTAACTGTCAGAAGTTAGACTTAAATAAAGATAAAGCATACATTGGGCAGCATAACTGGCAAGCATTGCAGCAGTACTCTCAGGACAAATTAGCCGACCCTCTAACAAATCTTTTTTGAGCTGAAGAAAGACGTGGTATCTGTAAAAAAAAGTGTTAGATCTAGAGGGAATACAAATATTGTCAAATAAACCTTTCACATAAAATTAAATAAGTTGAAAGTTAAATTTAACTTAGTGATAATAAATAAAAATTGTTTTAAAATGATCTATTCCTCATTTACCTGAAATTATATTAAACAATCAATAAAATAAAACCTTGTATATTCTTCCACTAACTTTGACGGATCACTAACATAAAATTTGAGGCGAAAATGCAACTGATAAGGAGGATCTGAAAGGAAATTTTAACCATAGAGAGAGAAAAGAATGCCTTCATTGAAAATATAAAAGTCTTGAAATTTGAAGCAGGAATTGTTAGAATTCAAATTTCTTTAATGTGATCCTTGTGAGACGATGACCGAAAAACAATTGGCACAGTTCATAGATGAATGGGAGAAGGAATATTTTGCTTGCAAATTGGAAATTATAGAGAACTTACAAAATAATTGTTTCCTAATCGATTTTGTGGGATCAAGCCATTTCTGAAACAATAAAATAATTCCAAAATTGAACTTTCATAAAAATGATTAAATTGATGCTGTGATAAAAACCGATAAAGAATGATAAGGAAAAAAGAAAAAACAGAGTCAGTTAGCTAATTAGCCATTAATTGATAAAGAAATGGTAAAGAAATGGTGAAGAGAAGAAAGATAGGTCAGTTAGCTAATTAGCTATTAATTTCAAAAATTTTTCGATTTAAGATAATTTTTCGACTCTAATGCAAAATATTACTCAAACCTTCACACCAGTCTGGCTTGTTTCAAGAGCAGATATGTATTGCAATCCGAAGTAATCCTTCTCGACCAGTTCAAGATGATCAAATACCATGTTGAGTAATGCTTGTCCCTTAGCATGACGCTATAATTAATTACAGTAATATGACTATTAACTGTAACAATTCTTGAGATGCTAGCTCAATCTGAATATCACCGTTCGCTAAATTATTTTTCTCTACATATTTGCTATTTTTGCCAACTTATTCTTGCTTTATATTCGAGATTGTGACTGATTTTTTTTCGTATGTGCAATATGCCTATCTTAAGGCAGCTTCGATAGTTAGAAAAATTGTTGAAAACTTTGGATGGTAATCTGAAGGAACGTTTATAGCGCAAAATAAATTTTTCACTTAACATTATTTAATTTTATTAATTTTCAACAAAAAACGGTTGAAATAATTTAATCGGTTGATAAACGGAAATATATTTGCTTTCTTGCTTTATAAATTATGCGGAAATGCGAAAATTAAGTGTCATAAAAATTATACGGAAAATTTTTATGAAATTTAATTTTCGGACCTTACTGAAAATTTGAAATTTTTTCCCAAAAAATCTTTTATTTCAATTTTATCGTCAAATTTTCTAATATTGTTGATTGAGCAAGAAATATATGAAAGTTTAGCAATAAACCATTTCTATGGCAAATTGCATTTGAGGATGAGATTTGATATTTAGCTTACTTTAAGAGTTAAGCAATCCTATTAAAAATGTTCAACTTAGATTTCATTTATTTTTCATTCCCTGAAATCTAAAGGATTTCAATTTAACAGAAAGTTATGAGAAAAAGGAAGTGGAAGAGGAAATAAAAGTAAAACAAACTTCAATTTCGAATCTTCGTTCAGTGTTATCGAGGAATGTGACGATGCAAGAAATTGTACGGACCGGGAATGTCAAGCTTTGCGGATTCAGTCCTTCCGATTCCCGAACGCTGTAGCTACCCGAACCGAATTTGATCATTCCCTCTTCATCGCTGTAATAAACAATCTACATTAGATAAAATCTTGATAAATTGAAATTCGCAAATATGTGAATAAAAAATACAGAAATTGCTTTGTTAATTAATGCGACAACGGTAAAAACATCTTAAAATCAAAAAAACGTGTATTTAATCAAATTTGAAACATTAAAGATAACAAACAAATTTTTTTTCTCGAATTAAAAAAATGTTTTGAAAACAATGGCGCATCAAAGTATATAATAATTGATAAGCTATTTTTGAGTGTTTTTATGCGCCATTCATAGCAAATTTACCACAAAAATTAAATCAAATATCTATTGTAACGTTGGAATAGAAAAATCAAGCTGTTACACTTAAAATATATCAAAATATTTTCGAAATTTTGATAGTTTTAAACTTAAAGAAATATGATCATCCAAAAATTATACTTTAGAAATCGGATTTAATTTTCTTTTCCTATCTAAAATTTCTGATGCATTTTAAAGATTGGTAAAAATTCAACATTTAAAACCTTTTATGAGATGAATAATTGACAATCTCTGCATGTGTTTCAATTTTGGATGAAAAAGATACTAATTCAACCTACGCTAAACCATATTTGTAAGCATTTTGGAAATGAGAATTGCCACATATCATCAGAATATCCATGCTAATGGGTGGCGATTGATAGCAGACTCTTTCCTCATCAAATATTTCATTTTTTTTTCTTCTTTTGCAATGCACGTTGAAAGTTTTCCCAATTGAGATTTTGCACATATCTCAAGTAGAAATGGGAAAAAAATTTTTTTGAAAAAGAGAAAGGAAAAGAAGATCAATGAATTGAGGGAAAAAGAATATTTTTCAAGGAAAAATAAATGGAAAGTTCGTTTTGCGTTGTAAAAAGATAATAATAAAATGTTTCAAATAGTATTTAAGTTATTGAATTGAAATTAATGGTTTCAATTTAAAACAAAAAAAAGGACTTCAAAGACATTCAACCTTACCAAAGCTATTTGATTTTAAACGGTAAAAAAATTCAAATGAAATAAATTCAAAAGGGAAACAAAAGAGATGAAACGAAATTAAACATTAATTGTATATCGAGAATTGATATTTATCATATTGACAATAAAAAAAAGCAAAAAATAAATTTTTTTCCTTCTCCAATCTTACTATTTTACAATTTTTTTTTACTTTATTCTAAATTTACTGCATTCAAATTTGCCCTATTTCTTTGAATTAATTTTCAAAAAAAACGGATCTGTCTTATTGGTTAGCAATTTTTGAAATCTATAAAATAAAAATGTTCTTACGAAAACCAGCTAAATGTTATATTAGAATCATTATTGTCTTTGTTTCACATTAAGAAACATATCCAAACTGGCTTATCTTCTTTATTCAATAAATTTCTTCATGTCTTTTTCAAAAAAAAGAAAAGAAAAATCAACTAAATTGGCAAAAAAAATATTAAGCATGCACAAAAAAATGTATTTGGGATTAAAGAAATTTTTGAAAAACAAGTTCTATTATCAAAAATTTCAAAAAATATCGTACACAAAACCAAAAGTAACAATTCGCGAAATAAATTCGAACATGCACTGCAAAATATTTAAAAAAAGAAAAAGTGAATCATTGAAGCAATTGCGTTTTTATGCTAATTAAAATTAACAAAAGGAGTAGTAATAGTGATAACTGATCATTGATATCACTACTAAATAGAAATGATGCAAAGTTACCTCACAATGAAAGGATGTGTGATGGAGGAGAAAGCATATCACACAAATATTATACTTTTTTTGTCAGTTTCAAAAAGTACGCAAAAGCTTAAAAGCATTAATTGATGTAAGCAACACAACAAGGAGAACAATTGTTTAGCGTACTATTACGGCTCTCTTTTGTTCAACGTACTATTACGGCTCTTTTTTCCATCACTCGATGAATTACAATTCGCTGACATTAATTAGTACAAATTGTAGTAATTTTGTAATAGAAATGAAGTTGAAAAAGGAAGGAACAAGGGAAAATGAATAATTAAAAAGAAAATGAAAGGATGAAATGGCTCATAAATTGTTACAAAAAAGAAAGGAATGGAATGATTATTGTGATAAGTTTGCGCGTCATTAATGGAAAAAAAAGAGAAAAATATTAGTAAAAATGTGTAAGTTCGATGGTAAATTGACTGTTACGAAGATGACCTTTTTGAAGATGAAATAATTGTTGGTATTGGCAATACAATATTGAAATCAGAAAATGAAATGAAATTGCGAAATATCAAAGCAATGAGAAAAATGGATCAAAAAAGCGAAAATCGAGATAAGAATTTCTTGTAAGAAGAAAAAAAAAGAAAGAGTAATAAATGAAAATGTGATGAATGGAGAAGGATGACGATGACGATGATGACGATGGCGATAATGATGATGATGATGATAATGTGGTTATAAGGATGAGAATCCATTTTTGCTTCCTATTCACGAGGCTAAAAGGCGGTGCTGTTAATATAATGGATCAGATGGGTTATCTGACTAAGATTATTTTGCATAAATGTATGATTAATAAGCGTACCAGCTGGTTTGCTTACTATCGACAGCTGTATCGCATTACAACAAACTGCAGACGATGATGATGACTATGACGATTTTAACGGCGATGAAGATATGGTATGACTAAAAATGGTTAACAGTGGATATTTGTTGCAACAAATACTGTTCCTACTATATTATTATTTTTTCACTTTATATTATTATAATTTACTTCTTGTATCGATCAAGATCTGATAACTAATATATCATAAATGATGATAATAAATGTTACTAGATAAGTTAATAAATTTAACTAAAAGTGATGATGAGATGAATAATACAGGAAAAAGAAATATCACTTCGGTTTAAATTTTTTTTTTGAGAAAAAGAAGATAAGATTAATATATTTGAATTGTTTTTAAGGATAGGATTAAAAAATGTATATGTATTCGTAATGTGAAAGCAAACGATGAGAATGAACTGAACAATGTGCCGAAGTGGCATAATTAATGAACCAACCTTTTCCGACAATATATCACTGAAGGAAAGGAAGAAGCGGAAAAAGTGAACAAAAATCGGCATGAACGTACAAACGACATGGATGGTTAAGCACGTCAGTGATGCAACAAACGACAGACTAAATTCAGATGACGGCCATCAACCGTACCTATCACACCGGTAATGGTTCACCCAACCCGTATGATATGTCCCATTTCATCATTTTCCTCCGCCATTACTGCTAATCATTTCTCACATACAAAATCAACTATTTGAAAAAGTTGTTTGCTTCACATACAATATAGAAATAAGAATGGAAATCACCAGTGAAGAAGTTAAAAGATTACAAAATTACGCCTTACATCAGATCCTGATCTACAAGTATATTTTTCCCTTCCTTTCCTTACTATTCATATCTTTGATTTCACATTTTATAGTTATTTATAATTTTGCTCAATATTTTAGATCCAAAAATATGCAGTAAATCAATCACGAACATTTTACTTCTACTCATATAAAGTAATTGAATATTGGTGGTAGTAGTAATAGTAGTAATCGCTGAATGAATGTTTGAAGAGCTTTTCCTTAATGGCGTTGTCATTTTCCTCTTCTTTTCAAATTGCTTTGATCAAATAATTTTCGATTAGAAGCGCTAGTAATTCACAAAGAATGTAAATGAATAAAGACAGCAAAACTGAGGAATAAAATTCATATAAATTCGAGGATAAC